AAGAATTTTTTTACCTAGCCTTACAGCTGGTTTCGCCCGAACCAAGCATTTTGGAGAAAAACTATGAGTACAAAAGTTGTTCAGAATTGAATTTTGGAGTCCCTGACGAGAGCTTTTTTTAAAATTTTCTGCTTCTGACTTTTAAATTAAATTTTAGGGTTTTTAAAATTTTAAAATTTTGTATTTTTTAATTTAAAAATCAAAAACAAAAAATTTTAAAAAAAGCTCTCGTCAGGGACTCCAAAATTCGATTCTGAACAACTTTTGCACTCAGAATTTTGCTTCGAAATGCTTGCTTCGAGCGAAACTAGCCGTAAGGCGAGGTGAAAAATACTTTTAGCTCTGAAGTTTTCTCGGGAAGGCGAACGCTAAATTTCTGCGGCAAACTTCATTCGGAAACGATGAAAAGAGTTTCTCCGTATACAAATTAATGTTCTCTATCGAACTACGCTAGAATCTACTCTTCATATTAAAAAATGAGGTTTTTATTGAAGTTTTAAAAATAGGGCAAAAAACCCGAAAAAAAACTATAAATCCGGGAACCGAAAGCTTTGTTGGGACATATACTCCGAAGTGTCCTCCACAAACTGCTGGAAAAAAACGGGTGGAGGGTCCCTCCTTAAATAAAAACATTTTACCACTTTTCTTCTTTTTCTTTCTTGAGAGCAACAAGACCTCTTTTCTGCTTTTTCGGAAAGAACAGATATCACACATCAAATTTCTCTTTCTCCTGCGAAAGGACAGATATCGCTTTGTTGTTTTGGAAAAGAAAAATTATAACTTTTCTTTTTTCCAAAAAGAAAAGATATGCATCATATCTTTAGCCTTTTTTATTGTAAAGAAAAAGAAAAACTTTTCTTTTGTTAATAAAAAAAACAGGTCGGAAAGAGAAATTACCACCGTAACTGTTCGTATGGCTGAAGAAGTGTCAATTATTTTGAGTGAATGCTTAGCAGATGCTGGTAACTGATCGTTTAACAAGTTGTTAGTTCCATCCGCTTTCAAATTTTGTTATTTAAATGCTGTATTTAATTGGATGACTATCAATTATCATCATATTTGTCTTGTAGCGATTTTTTCAAAAGTAATTGAACGTTTAGTACATAAATAGCTGTATGAATACCTTACAATAAATAATTTGTTAGCAACTCTTCAGTCTAGTTTGGGACACAAGGGCTCGATAATAAACCAGTTGATTAATATAGTTCATGTAACAGAAAGTGCTTCTGAAGAAGACAAGATGACTCGAAGAATCTCCTTGGATCTCAAGAAAGCAATCGATTTGGTCTTATACTGTGGACTTCTCTATAGGTTCAAACTAAAAGGAGTGACTTACCGAATGTTGCAGTAGTTTCAATCCTATCTTGGTGATAAAACTACAATTACCTGACTGAACGGTAAAAAGTCTTGCACTCGAAAATTAAGCAGAGAGGTGCTTCAAGATTCAATCTTGGAACTCTCTTTAGTTTTTATTGATCATCGTTCTGAATCTCAAAATCAGTTTCTTGATTATTTGCTGCTGATGTTTTCTTTACCACAAATTCATCATTATGCACTTTGAATAATGATCTAAATGAAGATTTAGAAATGATGTATCGTTGGTCTAACGAGGGAACCGCTCGAAGTGATTAAACGCTTTTTGCTCGGAATCTAGTGGGTTATAGGTTATCGACTATGCTGATTACGAATACGACCATGGGGCTTCTACATAGCCCTTCGAAGACCTGGTTTTCTGGAAAACCAGTTTTTCAAAAACTCTAAAATGTAACCCGAACCTTTCTTAATGAGGCATGATTGTAGCCCTCACATTTCTGATTAAAATGAGACATCTTCCAGCTTTTTACGACGTTTCTTTGCAAAGTTATAGAATTTACAAGAAAAGCCGCAAATGTCCATTGTCAGCTCAAAGCTACAGAAATAAGAAGAAATTAATTTAGGGCTTTTCTTGTAAATTCTATAACTGTCCAAACAAAGATCGTACAAAGCTGGGAGATGTCTCATTTTAATCAAAAATGTGAGGGCTACAATCATGCCTCATTAAGAACGGCTCGGATTATATTTCAGAGTTTTTGAAAAACTGGTTTTCCAGAAAACCAGGTCTTCGAAGGGCTATGGGGAAGCCCCATGATCGTATTCGTAATCAGCATGGTCGATAACCTATAACCACTAGATTCCGAGCAAAAAGCGTTTAATCACTTCGAGGGGTTCCTTCGTAAGTTCTGACAACTTGACATGAATATAAAAAGGTGTGAGCCGATTACTTTCTCTAAACATCCAATAGATACATCAAAACATCCTCTAATGATTAACAGAGTAGCTTTGCCTGATGTGTCATATCACAAGCATCTAAGGATTTACTTTACTTTCAATTTAGAATGATAGAAACATATAGAATATGTCTATAATCACTGTAGTAAAATGCTTTTTCTGATGTATCGCGATAAAAATATGCTTCAAACATCAGTACTTGACCAGATCTATAAAGCCTATGCATACCCACTTTTGATATATGGTTCTTGTGTCTTTTCAGGCACAACAACAACAAACCTTGTTATTTTAAACGTATTCAATATAAATTTGCGCATGTTGTCAGTGATTGTATAAAACTAACATTATGTTGAAAAATTTTAGATATTTTAGGATGGAAAGATATCTTGTCTATAGCAAATCGAGTTTAAACGTAAACTCGATCTGACGTATCAAAAAATAGTAATGTTGTTTGTGTGTACGGTGTGGTGTCAAGAGAAAATACTATAAAATATATTCTCAAATGAGATGTAATTTTTCACCTTTAACACATTGACCGCTTCTTACGCCGTAATAAAGAATGAAATAAACAACGAGCGTTACTTGCGGGTCGCGGTCAATGCGTTGAACAATGATTTTTTTATCAGAAAGTTATCTTTAGATAAAAACTGTTAATGTGGAGAAAAAGTAACAGTAAAGTACTATCTTCTGCAGTGTTCTCTGTGTTCATCCGAAAGAGCTGTTTTGTTTAAAACAATTTCTGATTCAATACCTGATGTTGCTTTATCTTTATCTACTTTATTTCTTTTCAACTGTTTTGAATACAATCATTATATACTAATTTATCGTACTGTTGTTAGGTTAGAGAATACTAAATGTTTTCACCTGTTAATAGCCTAATTTGATTATTGCTTATGTGTTTGTGTTTGTGAAAACTTCCAAAGATATGTGTAATTTCTGAAGGAAATGGAAATTTGAAGTTTATTTTTATAGCCAGTCGATTTCTTCGTTTTAGGCGCTTTTTATTCAGTAGCTGTGAATTCAGGTTTCAATGGTTGTCATTACACATTCAGTGGTTGAAAACACTTTGAGTACATTTTTGATGAGGAAATTTTCCGCTTTTCTGCGTGTTTACAACTACTGAAAAAAAGGATCTTTTAGCATCAAGAAAGCTGTTCTATTATTGATTTATTTCTGCCCAGCTGAACATTAGGTACATTTGTGGATAAAGTTTAGTGAAGTTCTGACAATTTTTTATCCGGAGGAGTAACGCTGACAAGCTGCTTTTGTCTTATCGCTGCTCGTTGTTTCTTCCTCACATCTATACACCTTTCTTTATTTATTTCTTCCCTGTTCTTCCATTCTATTTTGTTCCTTTTGTTTTTTTCTCTTCTTTCTCTTAAAATGGATCTTTTTTTTGGATGTTTTTCTGTTCTTTATCTGTTCTGTTCTTTAAGCATTTATATGACAAACCTTAAAATCGGATGGAAATAACAACTCGTTAAAATATTGGCTAGAAACATCTGCCAGGCATTCACTCACCATAATTCACCCTTTTTTCAACTATATGAGTAGTCACAGTTGAGCTACACGCTTTATTTTCATTTAACTTTGACAGAATATTCTTAATCTCAACAGATTTAACTTCAGTACTATCAGATTTCATACTAGACATAGGAAAGGTTGTGAGACGATTGCATTTCTTAACCTCACTTTCATTCATCGCTTCTTTATTTTCTGTTATTTGATCTTGCTTAGTTAAACAGCAACAAAATACTACTCGTGCAATGGCTTATTCCCGGAGATTTCAGTTATATTTTCAATTATTTTAATTTTCATGCTCTTAATATTCTTGATTCCAAATACTTTTCATCTTTTCATCAAAAAGTATTCTTAATAATAAAAGTTTGTTCTATTTATCTTTAATTTGAAAATATTAGAAACTTTTAAAATATTTATAGGTGTACTTTTGTCAGTGTATGTAAACGAATGGGATTAAAAATGATTTTGCTCACCATTCTCGTCATTTATTTGTGTTCATTGATATTGATCATTGATACAACACCACAAGTGATCAGGCATAAGCTCACGGTAACTATACCTCATGAGGTTTATTTTCTTGTTTTGTTCTTCTATAGTATACCAGTTAAGCGTCAATTTGACAACGAACAAGTAAAAATATCAGAAAAACTAGTTGGTAACGAAGAAATAATTAACCAACAGAATGTAAGACCGTCGCACAGGCTATAGAACGAAGCCACGTCTCGTTATTTTCAATCAGGTTTTTTGGACTGGTACTATTAGCATTGGTACGCCACCGCAAAATTTTATTATTGATTTCGATACGGGTTCAAGCGATCTTTGGGTGCCTAGTACTTCGTGTACAGGATCATCTTGTAGTGAGTATATATGCGATGAATATTATCGGATACATTTTGCTTCTTCGTTGCCTTTGATTTGTATAGATAATAAGAATAAATACAACAGTGCTTATTCAAGTACCTATCGAGCAAATGGATCTCCGTTTTCGATCACCTACGGTGATGGAACGTATGCCACGGGACATTTTGATAATGATACAGTCGCAGTAAGTGTACATGCATGTAATTGATCTCCTTTGTTTCTATATGATAGAATCACATTTAGTTTGGCGGATTACAAGTTCAAAATCAGGTGTTTGCGGAAGCTACACATGAGTCCGGTTTTGTAGGTGATATAAACGACGGAATGTTAGGGTTGGGATATCAGAAAATAAGCAATGGTGAAGCACCTATCTTCTATAACATGTGGGCACAAAACTTAATACCTCAGGCGCTGTTCTCATTCTACTTTGACCCGTAAGTTTTATAGTTTGTCCTTGGAAAAAACCAAACCAATGACTAGATTAAAATGTGTGTTTTCTAGAATAATAAGCTCAGGTGGTGAGTTAATTTTGGGTGGAATTGATACAGGAAAATATCAGGATTCAATCACCTATGTCAATGTTTCTCACCAAGGCTATTGGCAATTTAACGTGGATAGGCAAGACATGTCTTTCTACAAGAATTACTCCCTATTTTGACGAAACATTTTTACTTCTATAGTATTTCGGTCGGTGAACAAACGTTTTGCACCAGCAATGTTAACTGTTCCGCCATTGCAGATACAGGTACCACATTGATTGTTGGCCCAAATGCACAAGTTCAAGCATTAAATAGATACCTGGGTGGCACGTACGATCGATCGAGTGGATACGTAAATGGCTTTATCTGTCTGATAAGTAATCAGCTGAACCTCTTTTTCTCTATAGTGGATAATACCTTGCATGAATAGAAGTACATCATACTATCAAAATGTAACATTTACAATCGCTGGTCAAACATTTACACTGAATGTGTTACAGTATGTCGTAGTATGGGGTCAGACTGGTGCCTGGACATGTGGTCTAGTATTTACGAACGCATCAATTACAGATCTTTACGGAAATCCAATTTGGATTCTAGGTAAACGTATATTTCTTCTTTCTTCTAATAATGAACAGAAATAAGTTTAGGTGATTATTTTCTTGTACGTTACTATTCAATTTTTAATCTGCAAACCAACCAGGTTGGTTTTGCTAAATCTATATCATATAATGTTTTAAATTCATGGTATTATGATCGGACATTGTTTCCAACTGTCACAACACCGACAACAGCAGCAAGCACCACGACTAGTACAGGAACGACAAGTAAGTCAATAAGCAAAAAGTTAAACACAATGTATGAAAGTTGAAATTTCAATTGTTAAGCTTCAACAACGACAAGTACTACTCTTAGCACGAGTAGTACTCTAAGCACCACCACGCTTCCAAATGGAATAACATTAACCACAACAGCAGCAAGTACCATGACTAGTACAGGAACGACAAGTAAGTCAATAAGCAAAAAGTTCAACGCAATTCATGAAAGTTTAAACTTCAATTATTAAGCTTCAACAACGACAAGCTCTACCCCCAGCACGATTACTACTTATAGCACCACCACACTTCAAAACGGAATAACATTAACCGCTATTACTAGTGCAGCAGCCACAAAACAGCAAAGCATCGGTTGTATGAATAAAGCATCATTTGAAGTTTTCTGTTTTCTTACTCTAATTATCAACTATAAACTTTTTAAAAATTTGATTAACATCTTTTTATAGCCATGAAATTTCATTTTGGGTTACGTATGTCTCGAACCGTATTTTGATTAAATCTGGATCTGTTTTACAAAGAATAGAAGCTTTTTTATTGAAAAGACATCCCAGCTGCCTTGTTTAGGAACTTTGTACAGTTTGTAGAACACATGCAACAGATTTGAATAGTCTAATAAATATGGAATCACAATAATACAAAACCCTTAAAGTTTTAGGTATGAATGATATTCACACGGTACTTTTGTACAATAAAATAGACTTAACTGAAAATCATAATAGATCACGTAATTGTGATCACAGACTTTTTGACCAATGAAAACAATTTATGGTTATGCTATACATCTGCATTAACATGTAAAAAACAAAATTTCTCAATTAAAACCATTAAGTAAAAAAATTAATTTAGTTTGAAAAAATTGAAAAGTCGGTTAAGAACTAATTATGAGTCCAGTTTACGTAGCAGAAACATTGTATGCAGTTGAAAATGAGTGAGATCGATAGAGCATAAAATTCTCTATCTATCTACATAGAAAAATTGAATATTGAATCTCAGACAATGGGCGAAAAATCTCAAAAAAAGAAGATGACAAAAGCACGTCGCTGTTTCGGCAACTCAGCACCATTCATGGTGCTCAAACGAGAAAAATACTATCAGAGATTTAAATACCATATTTGTAGGGAATTTAAATTTCTATCGAATGAGACTAAAACTAGATTTTTAGGTCACTCGAAAATGTTCGAAAAATCAAAGACTGCCGGATGACTTTTGGACCGCCCTGTATATATATGAAAGTATACATTCAGATATAGTCAGTTCGAGTGCATATAGAATACAGAGTTAATAAGTGGTCGGACCAGTTAGTGGTCTCCTTACTTCATGTTATTCTTGCATATGTATTTTTACCATTATTTTTAGATATACTACATAGATTGGATTGGCATTTTGATTTATCTAGGTTGCTGAGAGAGTTTCTAGTCTCACTTGATTGAAGAATCCTAGCTTAACGACTAGTAGAGGTCAAGAGTAAAAATACGTGATGACATGAACCACCGGATGAATCAACAATAACGAATTTGTTCGTCAATAGGTACTGTGTTCTTGAAAAAAGAGGCCAAAAAGAGAATTTATAGAAAGAAAGAGGCGGAGTGGGAACTCAAAAATTTTGAGTTATTTAAAGAACAATCAACGGCCTTATATTTTGGCGCCGATGTTAATAAGCATCTCACAGAAGTGCAGCATTGAGATGAAGAGCAGGAAGCATGAAGAGATGTACGGCAAATAATTGCCTAGGTCAATAGCATTGTTCTTATATGAATCAAAGGAGTATTCAATACTCTTTTTCATGACATCAGGCTGAGATGAAGGTGACGTCGGCATGTTAAAATATCAGAAAAAGTACAAATTCGTATTCAGAAAAGTACAACAGTATTTTAATTCAATAGGTTGTATTGCCAGATTGCATAGAATACTCTACGACATAGAACAAGATCGTTCGGAAAATGTGCTTGAAAAAGCCATGAAGGATGAAACGAAACTAAATGATTAGTAAGTAGCAGTTTCTTTTCTGCAAATTTATTTGTACAATCACTGTTGCCATTACTAAAATAACATTACAAGAATATTCGAAAAAAGACGTAATTATCCATACCAGCAAAAAACTTAGAGTCTTTTTAAAAAATCAGGACTTATAGAAAATCACGAACTAATTGTGTGTAACGCAGAAAATCATGTAGAGTAAGTATTTTAAAAGTGGAAAACAATACACAGACCTGTGAGTTTAAAACCTGCTGTTGCTGCTGCAAACGCACGCTTTCGAAAATATGTAAAGGGGAGGACACATTAGAAGATCCGGAGCCTTCTATTCAGTCCTATCGTTCACAAGTTTTAGGGGGTCTTCTAATATGTCCATGGCTTTACCTAACGAAAATAGCAATGTTGATCGTCGCAGAATAAAACCATATTCCTCAAGAATTGCCTGAACTATTAAATGATGGTTCTATAAATCACATGAAGATTTAAACGAGTGCACAGGTGATATCTGCTTACGAACCGCCCCAGGTGTCCCCTTCCGATTCCAATGATTTGTACATGACATTTAGGGCTTTTCATCTTCAACATCTAAGGCTTTTCTTGTAAATTCTATAACTTTGCAAAGAAAGGTCATGTAGAGCTGGGAGATGTCTCATTTTAATCAGAAATTTGCGGACTACAATCAGGTCTTACTATGAAGAGGTTTTGATCATTTTTTAGAGGTTCTGAAAAACTGGTTTTCCACAAAAACGGATCTCCAAGAGTCAAGAATCCTTTTAGGGTATTTACTACCTCACTGAGGTCTATCGATTCATGTACAAATCATTGGAATCGGAAGGAAACACCTGGGACGGTTCCCTCGTTAGACTGTTGAAAAAAAGAGAATAGTACATTCAAAAGTTTGCTATACGTGGCAAGGAAAACGTTTGTTCAACTAAAAACTGAGCCTTTTAGCTTTTATTGTATAACTCTTTGATACATATTTTCCACCATTTGTTTGTATTATAAAATTAATATTAATCGTTTTTTTCTATTTTATTTACAGGTGAGAGTCATACCTATGATATACAACCGAAAGTATATACACCTAAGGTTGCACATAAAGACCGTAAAAAAATAATCAAAGTTATTTTAATTTAGTTTTTTGCTTTTTTTAACGTAAACTATTTTTTTGGCACTTTATCTTTACGATTTCTATCTTTTTTTGTTTCATATTATTTTTCATGCTTGATTAAATGCAGAATTTTGTTTCAGTTTTTCTATTTTGCGCTGCCAAAGAAGAAGTTCTATTTAAATAAATAGAAAATCATTTTTTATGGCCATAATCAGTATAGAACGATATCGTGAATAGTTAATGGACTCTATTACATCGGAAGAGAGTAGTGTTCTACTGCTCGATATCTTTAATTATATAAAAGATAAAGATAAACCTTATGTATTTGTTTGGTTCGATGTTGAAGTTCTAAATTTATTGGAAGAGATTAGTATACAAATGAGTTTACATCAAAAATTATTTCAATTTGCCAACTGCTTAAAATGTTTTTATTAAAATTGAGGCATGTAAATTATGGATGTCACATGTAAAACAAGTAGAACTCCCCCAGAGTTTAACAATTTTTTTTATGGTTTGTAATACTTTTGGACGAGAAATAGTTTCATTTCTAATTAATTAATCACTGTCACCTGTCCTTAAAGTTTATATCTATTATAATTCAGCGGAAGAGAAGACAGAAGACATGGAATGGATAAAGCAGTATGACGTGGTATGTAAAAATCGTCTCTTATTAAAAACTAACTTCTAATTCACGCCTTTGTCTTTTCAAATTAGATCTGTTCTGTCACAACAAACATCTATGATACTATTACAGAAATTTTTAATGATCTTAAACAACAGAGAGCTCTAGAAAAAATGAAGTCTATGCCGTCATCATCGTCGATGCCAATGTTATTCTATACGACTGAAAAATCTTCTTCTGAATTGAATGGAACCTTTCTGTGGCATCAATTACTAATTGAAATCTTAGTACAAATGGAAAAAAAAGATTCTGATAGACAAGAGTTGATTGAATTGTGTAAAAGAGCATATGCTACTGACACCAGTGAATTAGAAAAGATTGAAGATTTTGAAAAGAATTATACTTCAGGTGATGCAATACTCTGGTATACTAAAGATACTTGCTTATATCGTCTTCTGAATAAAGCTTTAAGAACTCAAGACATTGATACATTATTCACGTTTCGTTGTTTTATTACCGATCTTTATCATCAAATGAAATATCTACACGACAATTCTACCTGTACTATCGATCGTGTCTATCGTTATCAGTTAATTTCACCTGAAGAACTCAACAATCTAAGAAATTCTATTGGACAGTACGTTTCAATGAATAGTTTTCTATCAACAACACTGAATAGAGAAATGGCATTGACTATTGTATCTTTTCCTGCTCCATTCACTTCAGATGGTCCACTACTAGTTCTATTTGATATTGAAATAGATGACTACTGTTTAAATCACAATGTTAAACCCTTTGCTAATATAACTTTATATAGTTATTTTCATGAAGAAACTGAAATTCTATTTATGTTAGGTTCTATTTTTAAGATTGAAAGCTGTAGACAAACAACTTTTTGGACGATAAAACTTAAAGTAGCAAGTGAAAATAATTTAGAATTAAAATAATTATATAATTATATGAAAAAGAATTTAAATAAAGAAGAAAAATTAAATCTTAATTCATTAGGATATGTACTCTATGATATGGGAGAATATGAGAAAGCATTAAAATGTCTACAACGTCAATTAAATGAGCTAAACGGTGAAATTTCTATGTCAACTGCATGTTGTTATCAAGGTAACGAATTTGAATGAAATCTCTCAGTTTTTTTTATACTGTTTATTGAACAAGTCTATTTCTCAATACATTTCAGGTTTGGGAATTGTTGCTTTTAAACTAGATGATTATGATTTAGCAAATGAATATTTTAAAAAATCATTCACTATTTATCAATTACTATCAAATCATGATAAATTTCTATTTAGTACTTATGTTAATTGGGCACTTTTAAATGTAGAAAAAGTTAACTATGATACAGCATTAGAATACTATGACAAATCATTAGAAATTTTGAATAAAGTCATTGATAAGAATAATATTGAAGAATGTAGTCTCGATCAAGCAAAAGTACAGTACAATATTGCTATTATCCATCGATTACAAAAACGTTATGACGATGCACTTATCAGTCTTAGCTATTCACTGGAAATTCGACAGGAACATTTACCATCAAATCATTATCTCATTGCAGAAGTCCTTTGCAATATGGGAGCCATATACAGCGATCTAAAGGATTACTATACAGCATTAGAATTTTATATATTAGGTGAAAAAATACTAAAAAAATCCTTACCTTCAATACATTGTACTGTTATACAAATTGAACAAGATATTAAAACAAATTACACAGAAATTACTTGAGTGAGTCATCCTCTTTTTTTCTTTGTTTTAAGGTTTTTTTTAAATTCATAGTCTGTCTAAAAATCGATACATTTTTTTCTAGTGACTATATTCCATTCAAATCGCAATACACCAGAGTTCAAGATGTCTTTTTAGTGAGAAATATCTCATTGCTGTCAAATAGTGAAACTGTTCGTAATTCTGTATTCATTCATGATATTCTAAGAGATAATAAAGCCATTGGTCTCTATTTTACAGCACAATGGTCGTTCGTAGGATCTTATTTCACTTCAATTCTAGCTGAACTCTATAAACAAATGTCTTCGAATATGCCATTTGAAATAATATTTATATCCTATGACGATGATCGACAAGCGTTTGATAGATGCTATAAAACGATGCCATGGAAAGCACTTCCTTATGGAAGTTTACTAGCACACATTTTACATAAAGGTTTTGATATAAAGGACCTGCCTATATTAATCGTATTTGAAACAAACACTGGTGAAATTTTGACAAAAAATGGCTTCAAATTAATTAATCATTTGAAAATGAATGCAATTGAACAATGGAGTAGAGGACAACAGATAAGTGGTACACTACCACTGATCCCACCTGACGAGTGTATTTGGACAACTAAGATGTGTGATGAATGTGAAGTCATAAAACCTATTGTAGGTTTGAGATATAACTGTAAAATATGATTTATGTAAAGTATGTTATGAAACTAAAAGGCAAGAACATGTACATGAGTTAGAATTAGTACCACAACCAGATGATGTGGACAGTGAACACTACTGACTTATTAATGTACTTGATGTCGAAGGTATCTCTGACAATAGTTTTTCTCTCATTCTTTCTGTCAGTTGTTTTCAATTTGTCTTACATTCTGCATGAAACTTTTAAGCATGCTCGGTACTTCGGTTTGTCTGCCAAAGCGACGAGCGGGTTAGTGTATTAGTAATAGGAGCTCGATAAATTCTTTCCAAAGACACAAAATTATTACAGTGCTCACTTTCCCCATATTTCCAATCTCTTTTCCCTGGCGAAGGAACCTATCGAGGTGTCCACTTCCGTTTTCAATGTTTTATATCTCGATCTATAGAGGATATCGAGTTCGTAAAAACCCTAAAAGAAAAATTCGACCCATGGTACTTTGTTCAGAAGTTATAGCGGTTTTTCTATTTTTGCCTAAGGAAACACGAAAAAATTAAAAAATTCATAACTCTGTCAATAAAAGTAGTTCAGAGCTCAATTTTTTTCTATGGCTTTTCTATATGTCTGTGATATTCACAAAAAGTTTCAGCTTTACAACTCATTCCATTCCGAGTTATTGAATTTTTAAGTTTTCGGTAGATTCGCCCTTTGCTAGGCTCACAATAAAATGACTTCCAAAATAGTTAGTTTTCCACTAAAACTGTCGAAACTTCCCTAAATGGCATGGTTTCGATTGGCACACACATGCCAATCAACTCACCTAATCGAAACTATATAACTTCAATGTTTTGTAACTGCGGTTTTGAAGAAGATCTCTGGAGACCTGCGCATCTACAGCCAACTTGAGAAATCTTTTTTGTTTCCATAAACGAAATTACACTACGAAACCATCTCATTTAGGAAAGTTTCGACAGTTTTAGTAGAAATCTAACTATTTTGAAAGCCATTTTATTGTGAGCCGAGCAAAGGGCGAATCTACGGAAAACTTAAAATTCAATAAGTTGGATTGCACAAACTCCTTTTTATACTGGCTCCTTTGGTTAAAAAAAAGCATGCAACGGGAAACATGCCAATACACTCGCGGGAAAAAGTATCCGTACCATCAGTTTTTGGATTTAAGTCGGTTATTTAGAGGCCTTTTTTAGTTTTTCAATATATGAAATGAAAGCTTGGGTGCTGCTCTATTTGCGCTGAATTTTTAGTTTGATTTTGACTTCTACTGCAGAAGTTATGGGTAGAACAAGTAGGACGTGTCAGCTTTTAGAAGAAAAAAATTCGTACGTTTTTAAAATTGATTTTTCTCTACTAGTAAAGATGATAGAAAAATAGCGTCATATATCATTTTGAAGAGCAGCGCAAGGGCTACAGTTTGATAAAAAGATAATTTTGAAAAGCTTTTTCGTTAGGGTAAGAATACGACCTTAAGCCAAAAGTGCCGTAGTCTTCAGTGTGACTGCTACATCTCAAGTATGAGCGACTGAAAAAAAATTATGATTAAGCCATTCGAAAGGGCATCAAAAACTGCGTAAGAAAACGGTTGATTTAAAATTTTCGGAAAAAAATTTGACCCATTTTTTCGTTTGTTTGTTACGAACACCATTCAAAACACCCCGATTTTTGCAGGTTTTTAACTTTTTTTCATTTTCTTTACGTTTTTCATCAAAATCAATAACATATTCACAATTATATTTAAATGAAAAAACCTCTGGTTCTTTAGAAAAAGATTTTAGGAAAACCGAGTTGTCTAGAAATCCCAACAGACCTTAAAGTTCATTCCTAAAGTTTTTCAACCGCTCCATTGGATAGCCTGTTCAATTCTCTACAGAATGAGATATCAGCCAAGTTTTTACGATACTAGACAACTGAGTTACAGGGTTTATAACATTACTCTCATTCAGTCTTCAAAAACTTGCTTTACTACGGAATTTCCGATCCCTATCGCATTTTCTGAGGTGTTGTTTTAAAGAACATTACAGAAACTTGGCCTCATTCTTGTTGAATTCGTTTTATTTCGTTTTCTAATTGTTGCATTCCCATTGTTACTTCTTTTATTTCTAGTTCCAGTTGTTGTATTTGACGTTTTATTCCATTGATTTGTTGTTCTATTTCTTGTCGATCTCGTTCATATTGTTCACGTTGTTCTTCTAACATTTGTCTATCATCTTCATATTTTTGTAACTGTTCTTGTAGTTTTTCTAATTCACTCAATTGTTTCGGGAGCACAGAAAAGCGATATCCGGTAAAATCGAGGACTGTTTGACCCATACACAACTTTTCTCTTCCGGCTTTTCCCTTCCAAAAATCTGATGTATTTCTTTACTTTTTTCTTTGTCGTAGTATGATTTTCGAGCACCAAAAATAGACTTTCTAAGTTAGTTCTTTGTGCCGTAGTAGATTGTCTCCGCTCTCTCGCACGCAACTTGTGCCAGAGAAGACTAGTGCATTGATAAGGATTTGTTTTTCTATATTATAATTATAATTAATTAAATTATAATTTTTCCATAATAAGAACTTGTAATCTGTCAGACCTGCAGATCAAGTTATGGTTGTTATGTTGTGAAAGAAAAAGTTACACTATTCTTTTCTTGCCTTTATTTTTCTATTCTGTTCACTTTTATACATACATTCTCTACATGTATACATTCATCCTCTATTTCTTTTATGATGTTATGCTTATTAACGGGTAAAAATTTTAGAACTATAGAGATAATAACAACAGCTATTTTTAATTCCATTATTCAATTTTTTATTAAAATTCGACGTTTCGAAAATACAATTTTCATTTTCAAGAAAACAATAGATGACAAAACTATAATTAGAGTCAAAAATATAAGTTCTATCGATATATACATGTGTTATAACACTTACTAAACATGTGTACATGTGTTAACATAACTAAACACACGTATATGTCTGTAGAACTTATATTTTTGACTCTAACGTTACATGATAGTCTTGTCATCTATTGTTTTCTTGAAAATGAAAGCTGTATTTTCGAAACATCGAATTTTAATAAAAAATTGACTAATGGAATTAAAAATAGCTGCTGTTATTATCTCTATACGGCTTGGTCAGCTAACGGTACACCAGAGTGTGGAAGTATGAAGCGTTAAATGAAGTGGTAAATAATTTTCGTTTGCTTTTATTAGTACCTGAACACATGGAAAATATTCGGTGAACATTAAGATGAATCATCAATAACGTGGTACGTTTGATACCATATGTTTTTATTATTTTTTTCTCGTTCTTCTTGACGTTTCAGCTTAAGAAAAACACATTGCTGGATAGAGAAGAAGTTATTCTGTTTATTGATCGTATCAATTCTTGTTCTAGCTTCTAGCTTTTACGTGCTTTCGAAAATTAATCAGCAAAAATTGCGCATTTTTAATGAAATTCCGTAACGAAAAATCGGTATTTTAAAATTTGTTCATACAAGCTAGGAGAATTCTATAAGTCATTTAGCATATTAAGATTCTGTATTTCAAGGGCTACCTTTTCAACCAGTTTTTATTTGAAAAGTGATACGATATAGTTACAAAAGGTAGCGTTACGGAATTTCATTTACGCGGGAAGTTCCCCAACTGTTCACTCGATTTCCAAACGAAAACTAGTGAATACTAGGTTATCAACCGTGCTGATTCCGAATATGACCATGGGGGTTGCCCTTAGCCCTTCGTAGATCCGTTTTCCCGGAAAACCAGTTTTTTAGATACTCTAAAAAATAACCAAAACCTTTCTTAATGAGGCATGATTGTAGCCCTCACATTTCTGATTAAAATGAGACATCTCCCAGCTCTACACGACCTTGCTTTGCAAAGTTATAGAATTTACAAGAAAAGCCCTAAATTCATTTTTTTTTCTTATTTCTGTAGCTTTGAGCTGACAATGAACATTTAGGGCTTTTCTTGTAAATTCTATAACTTTGCAAAGAATATGATCTGCGGTCTAATAATGTTAAAATTACTTTAAGTAACTTATCTATACGTTCAGCAAATCTTAAGAAAACTTTTTTTCCATCATCCGTACGGATTTGGACACCATGAGAGGTGTCAGCAATGGCTATTGGCGCCTCCACATAGTATGTAGACTGTGCGAGAAGTGTATTTCATATAATGACATGAATGCACGTCAGATATAGGTGAACTTCGGTAAAATTCATCAATGAAACTTTAAAATTCATGCTGGAACACTAAAAAAATGCATTTGATAAGATTATTAATGTGTGACGAAATTCACACTTTGATGACGTTAGTTCCCGAAGAGTATCCCCGTCCCAGGAACTTCGTCATGTATGTCGAACGTGCATTTGTCATAATGATGATAGAGTGGTGTGATGAAAGTACTATAATTCTTCTAAAAGACTACACGAAATACTTTTTCAAAAACCGTAGTATGTTAAGAAAAATTTACAAGCAAGCTAACATATGGTGTAAATGTCGAGCATTATTTCTCCATGTTGCGGATGTTCTGTAGAGTTAATTATTTGTCCGTCGCAGAGAACAAAGTCTGAAATTCGTAAAACATGAAGAAATTTTTTTTTCCTGATTAACCCTTGAAGCTTTTCGTGCATGGATCAATGATCTACATCATGCTTCTTCTAGGCGTGAATATGTTGATACTGATACGGGGTATGTAAACGTATATTATTTAGAAGACATTGTTGGGAAACGTTTTATAATTACGTGTGCACCAGTTTTTGAGTGGTGTTGTAGCATTCGGGAAAATTTCTATACATCGATTATCAAGATTTGCTTATGGCTGCGGAACATCTCATTTTGTAGAAAAATGTTTGCTCTATCAAAACGACGAAAGAAGGCGACTCTAATACGGCTGAAAATCGTAAATATAACTCCATGGTTGTTATTGGGTCCGCGCAGATCCACACTTCAGTTTTTTTTCTGTAAGACTCGTTCACGAGACTTGATATAGGTAGTGTGTGTGGATAGAAGATTGAGGATTAGGCAAGAGAGCAAGTCGAAAGAGATGAGTACTGCCGAGTATGAAGCAAAAACTGCACAGTGGGTCCGACTGGACCCCAAACAGCTGTCGAGGGTTAAGTGCGAATGGGAAAAAATCTAAATAGCAAACGTCGCCAAAAAGGTTCCTGCAACTTTCGCTCTCTTCAAACGTGTTTGTCTCATCAAGCATATTTTTTCCCTATAACAGAATATGTCTGAAATTATACAGTTGTAGAAACCAGAAGTGTTTTTACCACTCTTTCGAATGGAGAATGATAAATTATCTTGCGGTCCACTTTTCAAACAAATTCGCAAATATTTCATTAATTTCAGAAACACAGTTAATAGATTTAATCAATAATTTTTAGATACTGAACCAACTTCCTCCTTTTGCTAAAAAGCATTTTCTGAAACAGCATTCAATTCTCAGCAAATTCACATTATTTAAATATTTACTAATATATTTTGAGTCATAAACAAAGGAATTTTCTCGATATGTCATCTTTCCATGCAAAGTGGTGTTCTTCTACTAAAACTGGGTTTTTGCACTCTTAAAGAATTACTAAGGAACTTTTAGAAAGTGGAGAGATCGATAGAGTTTTGCACGAACTACATTCTTATCTATTTAGTTTTCAAAGTTTTTCTTCTGAAATGAAAAGAATAAAAGACGAGTTCGGTGCAAGATCTTTTTGAGGTCAATCGAAAGAAGTCGTACTATTCAAATTGGATAAATAAAAAATTGTTTGTCAGACAAATTTCTTCAATGCCCGAACTATGTTCTAGCCAGAAAAGAACTTTTTAACAACTTATCTCATCGTGACTCAAACATAGACATTGACTTGGACACATTACTACTCAGAAGACAATTTGAACCAAACTTGT